ACTACGGACTCAGAAGCAACTCCGAAGAGAGCAGCTGAGCCGAGGCATGCGTATATGTTGAGGATACTATGGTATCCGTGGAGTAAAATTATTGTTGTACATTTACATTGTGTGCGAATTTGATATGCAAATGTGGAGAATGTGCGTCGTTTTTTCTATTCCGGGATTATTGATAGTGAACAACTTGTCGCTATCACAGTCTCGAAAGGTTACTTTTATCACATCACATGTTCATAGCAATGTTAACATTGTTTATGCGATATAGTTTAATCTCCGAGAATAACACACATTTGCATATCAAACTATAACATAAGACTATAGTAAAATATTTGATAACTAACTTGTCGCCATTCGATGCATTACAGTGTGATCCGAGTCGTCACGCAAATGATTTTTTCTACAAATTTTTCATATTTGCATATCAAATCGGCACACCTGTAGTAATATGAATATGAAAACATTCGCTGTGAGCATTCGCATTCAGCAGGTGAAGATCTCGGCGCGGTTCTGTGTACGCATCCTCTGGTGAGAGCAGTGTCTTTTACGGGAGGAACTACAACTGGTCGGAAAATAGCCGGTGTATGTGGAGTTTGGTTTTTGACAAGAAAAGTGTGTATATATGTCGTCAGTTAACGGGGCCGCATTTGAAAAAATTATCACTCGAGCTCGGTGGGAAAAATGCAACGATAGTGTGGAGGGATGCTCCTATCGAGAGCGAGCGAATGATGACCTCGGTTGTTCGCAGTGCATTTGCTAACTCTGGCCAGGTGGGATTAGGTTTGCTGGGGTCGTATTTTTGCTGATTTCTGCACTATATATATGTTTACTTTTCTCAGTTGAGCTCAGGAGTTTCTCTACTAGTTGTAGGAGTTTACATACGAGTTCGTATAGAAACTACTGTGGAAAATATGCACATATGACAATAAGAAAATTCTGGGGAAAATTTTGAAGTATCCGAATCTGTATATAAACTCCTCAGCTGAGGAGAGCGAATATATAACTCAATACTACGTGTATAGAAAACACTAACGAAAAATTCCTCAAAATTTTCCAACACATGTAGTTGACTTTTCATGACTCATCGTAAATTCCAGAAAAAAACTGCATTGCTGAAAAATTTGTTCGCCTTCCTCAGCTGAGCTTTAGAGCTTCCTCACTAAATATACACGCTACTATACGAATACATAAAAATGCACAGGGATCAATTTCCCAAAATTTCCTCAGAATTTTCATCTTGTCATCAACATTTGTGGATTGCCATGCGCATATTTTCCTACACTAAAGAGTTAATTATTGAATTCTCAGATTTGCTTATGTGGTTCACGTCTGCTGGTGCACGAGGAAATTTATGATCGATTCACTTCAGCGTTCGTTTCGGAGGCTGCTAAGCTGAGAATTGGAGATCCGCTGGAACCTACTACTACTACTGGTGAGCAGTGTTGAAAATATGCACATGGTCAACTACATGTGTTGGTGCCAATGAAAAAATTGTGGGGGTGTTTCTTGTCGGTTTCTGTACACTTCTACTAGAATCCTATAATTAGTGAGGAAACTCCTGAGCTCAGGTGAGGAAAGCGAACATATATTCCTACTCCAACACTGTATAGGAAACTCCTGAGCTCAGCTGAGGAAAGCCAACATATATTCCTACTCCAACACTGTATAGGAAACTCCTGAGCTCAGCTGAGGAAAGCGAACATATATTCCTACTCCAACACTGTATAGGAAACTTCTGAGCTCAGCTGAGGAAAGCGAACATATATTCCTACTCCAACACTGTTGCAGGTCCGCTAATCTCGCGAGAACACGCCTGGAGAGTTCATAACTTTGTTCTTTGGTCGCTGCAAGCAAACCCCGGCGCTAGGGTTCTCCTGGGCGGCCCTGATGCATATGATGGTAAGTTGAAATGAAGTTATGGGAAAATACTTCACAAGAGTGAATATTACTACTATTATGGAGATTATGTGATAGTAGTTTTACTACTATGCTACTATAGCGATGGACATTGAATATTATAGACATAGTCTAGATAGATGATAATAGGGTGTGGACAAGTGGGAACTGAGACGCGATAATTGGGAGAGAAATTTGACGTATAGTCTTTAAAAAAAGGTAGTTGACGTAATGGCGATGTTGAACAATGCAGTGCGTGTGAATTTGATATGCAAATGTGTGTTATTTTTTCCGAGATTAAACTATATCGCATATACAATGTAACAATG